CAGCCCCGGCAGTAGTCTGGCCAGAAAGTGGGTTTAATTCCTTCCTCTCTGTCTTACCGGCATGGAGTCAAGCTGGGATCTGCCTGGTGCTCCCCTCCCACCCCCATCGCTGCTGCAGGGGTAGGGATATGACCAGATGCTGGCCAGCATGGCCCCCAGAGGCAGGGCAGTAGTTATTCAGCCCCTCTGTCCCTGGGAAACTAGAGCCGAGGTCTGCCCTCCCCAACTGTTACCACCATCCGCTTTCTGTACAGGGCGAGTCATGGGATAAGCCCCCTCCTGTCCTGTCTGCCAGACACCAGAGGGAGGGGAGAATAACCCCCCGCCTTGTCCCCTTGCTTAAGGGGCCCTGCCGGTACCCTGGCTCTGCCACTGGAATGGTGAGGATGCAGGGCCCTTCATGTGGTCAGCACCCCCTGTCATTGTGTCCAGAGAGTGTGAGCCTCTTCCCGGCAGGGGGGCCACGAGTGGGGAGTCGCAGAGCTGCTGAGGACTGTGTGGGACAAGTGGCAGCACTGGGGCTTGGAGGGGGCCATCACCCCCCAAATCCCCCTGCAGCACCGCCACCACCACTTGCAGCACACAGTCTGAGGCAGCTTTCCCTGACCCACAGTAAGGCCCACCCGCCAGGAGAGGCTCACAGTCTAGGACACCATGACGGGGTGCTGCCTCTGTCACGGTTCCTGCCCCTTTGCCGCTCCAGAGGCAGGGGCAGAGGCATGGCCAGAGGCCGGCTGGCAGGGCCCCTTAGTTGGGGGGGCAGGAGTGGGGTTATTAACCCCTCTGCCCTCCGGAGAGCTCAGTGGGGTCTGCCCGCCCGAACTTCTGCCTCCACCACTCATTCCCTGCACGGGGCAAGCGGCGGGCTAAGCCCCCTCCTGCCCTCTCCGCCATATACTGGAGGGAGGGGGGAATACCCCCCCCTCCCGGCCCTTTTGCCTGAGTGGCTCTGCCAGCTGGCATCTGGCCATTCCTCGGCCCTGCTGCTAGAGCAGTGAGGGGCAAGTGGCCATGATGGGGGCTGCAGCCCCTGTCACAGTGTCCTGGAGTGTGAGCCTCTTTTCTGCAGATGGGCCGAGCTGCAGGGTGGGGAAAACTGCTGCTGCCTGTGCAGGGTGAGTGGTGGTGGAGGGGCTTGGGGGACTATGGCCACTGCTCCAAGTCCCAGTGCCACCACTCACCCCACACAGTCTGTGGTAGCTCTGACCCCCAGCTCATGGCCCCCCTGCCGGAAAGAGACTTGTGCTCCCCGGACACCATGACAGAGGGTGCTGCCTCCATCAAGGGTCCTGCCCCCTCGCTGCTCCAGTGGCAGAGCAGGGGCACAGCCAGAGGCTGGCCGGCAGGGCCTCTTAGGTGAGAGGGTAGGGAGAGAAGTTATTCCCCTCTTCCTCCAGTGTCTGGAGGGGGCTTATCCTGCCGCTTGCCCCAGGCAGGGAGCAAACAGTGGTGATTGGGTCTGGCAGATGCTGGCTGTGGTCCCGAGGGAGCAGAGTGGGGAATAACCCCTCTTCCCGCCCCCTCTGCCTCAGGGACATATGCCAGTCAGCGTCTGGCTGCGCCCCCACTGCTGCAGCAGTGCAAGGCAAATCCTGGCTCGGGTCTGTGCTGGTGGGACAGGGAAGGGGATTAAACCCCCTCCCTAACCAGTTCACTTCAAGCTACTGCCGAGGCTGGCCATGCCCCCCTCCCAGCATACCTGCAGCAGAGGACACACTCTAGTGCCCCCCCAGCTCCTGGCCTGAGCAGCTGCAGGTATGTGCCTGCATGTTCTCAGTCCAGAGGAAATGTCTGTTCACTTGCAAATTGGTTCATTCTAGCCAGGTTAGACTAAAGTGCAAAGATTGGATCAATTCAGGCTCCACCTCTTTGAATGCCTGTCCCTAGCCAATTAGCGGGCTTTCATCCTAGATCCATCTTGGTTTGCTCTCTCTCACCCTATTCAGGTCCCCTGATCCAGGGAATATAATATACATTTAATATATGTATCAATTTTATTGTGCTTTTTGATATTTCAGTAAAATTAAAGGTTTTTGTTTTGTAAAAATTAACATTGCCATATCATTTCCAGTTTGCCATGTTGCTTCACTAGTGGAGCTGTTTAACTGTTATAGCACAGTTTACAGGGTCCCATGTTGTTTAAGGAAAACACTGTTTTTACAACTCTTGCAAAGTGCTTATGGGGGCATGGGTTTATTTAAAATATTTTTAATGGTTGTCATAAAGCTGAGATTGGCAGTTATAACCCTTGTCAGTTCTATTCACTTAGATTCATAGATGTAGGGTCAGAAGGGACCTAAGTAGATCATCAAGTCCAACCCCCTGCCCTGGGCAGGAAAGAATACTGGGCTCATATGACCCCAGCTTGGCAGTTATCAAGCCTCCTCTTAAAGACCCCCAAGGTAGGAGCCAGCATCACTTCCCTTTGAGGTTGGTTCCAGATCCTAGCCGCCCTGACTGTGAAGTAGTACCTTCTAATGTCCAGCCTGAACCTACTCTCAAACAACTTATGGCCGTTATTCCTTGCTACTCTGGGAGGTGCTCGGGGAAACGGTCTCTCTCCCATTCCCCGCTGGTCCCCCCTGGTAAGTTTATAGACAGCCACCAGGCCCCCTCTCAGCCTTCTTTTGTTAAGGCTGAACAGGTTCAGGTCCTTGTAGGGTCTGCCCTGCTGCTTCCGTATCATGCGTGTGGCCCTCCTCTGGACCCTCTTGATGCTGGCCATATCCCTCCTGAAGTGCGGCGCCCAGAACTGGACGCAGTACTCCAACTGTGGCCTGATCAGTGTCACATAGAGGGGGAGGATCACCTCCTTGGCCCTGCTTGTGATGCATCTATGGATGCATGACAAGGTGTGGTTAGCCTTCCTGACCGCGTCCTCACGTTGGCGGCCCATGTTAGCTTTGGAATCGATAATGACTCCAAGATCCCTTTCTGTCACTGTGCTTTCGAGAATGGAGTTCCCCAGCCTGTGGGTATGCTGCTGGTTCTTGCTGCCCAAGTGCACTTGTCATGTTGAATCCCATCCTATTCTCATTTGCCCACCCGTGTAACCTGTCCAAGTCCAGTTGTATCCTGTCCCTCCCTTCTAGCTTGCCCACCTCGCCCCAAATCTTGGTGTCATCAGCGAATTTGAACAGGGTGCTTTTCACCCCCTCGTCCAAATTGCTAATCAAGAAATTGAACAGTACAGGCCCAAGGACCAAGCCCTAGGGGACTCCACTGCCTACATCCCTCCAGGTCGAATATGACCCATCCACCACCACTCTCTGGGTGTGGCCCCTCAGCTGATTTGCGACCCAGCTGACTGTAGGCATCAATGCCACAGTCACCTAGCTTTTTAATAAGAATGGGGTGGGATACAGTACCAAAGGCCTTCCTGAATTCCAGAAAGACAATATCCACCGCGACACCTGCGTCCAATGATGTTGTGACCTGGTCATAGAAGGCAATCAGGTTGGTCTGACAGGACCTGCCCCTAATGAATGCATACTGGTTGCCCCTAAGCATCCTCCTCCCTGCTGGCCCTTCCCAGATGTGCTCCTGGATAATTTTCTCAAAGAGCTTCCCCAGGATCGAAGTAAGACTAATGGGCCTATAGTTGCCCATGTCCTCCCTCCTCCCTATTTTGAAAATGTGGACCACGTTGGCCTTCTTCCAGTCTTCTGGAACCTGGCCAGAACACCACGAGTGCTTGTAAAGCTATGCCAGGGGCCCTGTGATAACCTCTGCCAATTCCCTCAGAACCCTGGGGTGGAGAGCAGCTGGACCTGCTGAGTTGAACATGTCCTGCCCCTCCAGAAGTTCCCTAACCTGGTCCCTAACTCAGTTCCCTAACGCTTCTTGCTCATTACCAAAGAGTTTATCTTCTATTCTCAAATCTTTCCCTCTGTCAAGCCACTAGTGTGGGTATATTCTAGTATTTTTCAAGACTATGGAAGAACTATTGAATCTCAAGAGAGATTTTTCATTCTATGTTAAATGAGAAACAGGCTTTTCTCATTGAATCTCATGAGAGGTTTTTCACCTATGTTAAATGAGAAAATTACTTTTTAAAAGAAGTGAGCGATATAAATAGTTTTTTTGGGTTTTTTGTTAATATGGCCCTTTTGTTTTAGTGATCAAGTAAACATGTTGGAGCAGAGAGAATTATGAAACTAATAAAGAGCATTCTGAAAGAATCTGTTTACCAAGAACAAGTCAAACAGTAACATTATGTTGATTGACAGTCTTCTGGGCTTGTTGTCATAATACCCAACACCTGATTGGAACAGCATTATTATTAGGAGTCCACTTAAATCATGGAGAAACTAAACAATTTTCACAGATTGTTTATGGTATAAATAGCAAATTCCATGTATATTTCCTGGATGCACTCATACACAATATACAACAAAGTAAATTATATGTAGACCTGTAGAAAAAGTTTAGAAATTCTAATTTATCCTTACCTTAATAAAAACAATCCATTAAGGTAGGTGTCTATGTCCCTATGGGGGAAGGAGGGATGAGAGGGTGGCTGCCATCTTCTGTGTAGCTTGAGCCAGGCAGAGCAGCCCTTGGCAAGGCAACTACTGCCCTTGGTGCCGTCCTGCCAGCCAGCCCCCTTCTCCCCCCAACCTCAAACGGCCTGCAAGGCTGGGCCACAGCAACAGCAAGGATTGCTGGCTACCACTGGGAGTTTTTATTTTTGTAAGTTGATTTTGCGGGCAACCGCATATTTCATGTTTCCCTGAAATCCGCAGAATCTTGAATTGAGTAGATCCTTAGTTAATAGTAGTAGTAGTGGTATTACTGTAGGATTAACAAGAGGTTTTCATAAAATTGTGATAGTTTTTTGAGATTAACAGATTTTTTTTAAATACCATAATTCATCTAATTCAGCATTTTGTAACTCATATAATGTGAAAAGGTACTTATACAATTCTCTAAATTATATTCACTATGCAGACTGCCTTGATGATCTGTAATTGCAATGGTAATTTTTTTCTTTTGCCTAGGAAGTGCCACTGCAGCAGACAGCGCAGCCTACTTCAACGATAGTTCGTCCAGCCTCATTACAGGTTCCTAATGTACTGCTTGCAAGTTCTGACTCAAGTGTTATTATTCAGCAGGCAATACCTTCACCAACTTCTAGCACTGTCATTACCCAGGCTCCATCCTCCAACAGACCAATAGTGTAAGTTGTACATCTTTGTAAAACAAGTTATTAGAGATTTTGAAAAAGATATTCTCTCCTTCACAGCCTGCATTTTTATTAATTTTCCTACAATTCTGAAGTATAGTAAATCTTCCTAAAATTTAGAAATTACATAGTATTTTTCC